TCTGTTACTGTTTCGCCAATATAACAAAATATGAAAATATTGAAGGTCATAGATGTATATATAATCATCATACAAACTATTGTCGTTGCTGACTCTACTGTGTTCCATCCCTGAAAGTATATCATAATGTTTTATGATAATTTATAATGCAATTTATATATATAATTATTATTAAAAGTACTATTAAACATTAAATGTTGAAAATAATGTTATATATAATAACAAACTGTTGAAAAATAATATAAAGATGCAATGCCACAGTATATCCAGTAGCGACAGTAGACGAAGATTATGGTTCAAAATCGGAGAGAGCATGCAAGAAAAATTTCCGTGTAGCGACGTTACTTGCTGTTCACGTCACAGTCACGGATTCACATTTATAACACTCGTGAGTATCATTTATTCTTGTTTAATATTTAATAAACAACACGAATGTAATAATTCTAATACTGATGATAACAATCTTATCTTACAAGAACAATCAAGTCAATTCAATATATGATATTATTTTCTAATTCTGTTCATAATTGCGTTTCAAGACTGAAAAATGTCGGCTGACAAAGAGAGTATGCAGAATTGGATTTGTATATAAATTCTCACTGAAATATTTACGCATAAAAATTCGCTTTGACTGAAAATAGGATTTTCTCTTACTTGATTAGATTTATTTTTATCAGTCCAATCTCAAATTACAGTTATTAATACTTATCTTCTGAAATTTGATTCTTCTTTACACCAAAGACGGTTATGTGATTCTCAAATTACAACATCGTGCTGTCGCTTGGTTGTATTGTGGCAATTTTTTCTCTGCGATAATTATTTCTTGCATGTGCGTCTTTCATTTTGCCATTTATTTAAGTATGAAAAGTTGTACAGTGTCGATGTGTCTTAATTACACATTCATCTTTTTAATACTTTAGCGTACCGTAATGACATAATATCCGATCATACATAAGTTAAACGTACATCCTAGCAATTCTACAAAACATATTTGATTTAAAAGTGCTTCCATTTGTGTCACGAAGCTGTAAATAACGTAAATTACAATCATATTTTACATATATGGTATAAACTTCTTTTGAAACTAAATTATAATATATTATTGAGAGAAGGAAAAAGAGAGTCAGATGAGACATAGTTTTGGATTGGCTCAAAAATCAAAGGCATGAAAATATAAAATAATTTTTTATTTTTTATACATTAATATCAACATTAAATTTATATCGGTATATTACCTTAATACTCTCAGATGGTGCTCCACAATGATTGCCAATCGATGCTGTACCATATCTTGCTGCTTTCGATGATCGAGCTGATCCAGCCATCTCATCAGTATATTCAACTGGCCACACGCATGCATCGCAAACACCGCTGCGAGACTGCAGGCACCGGCGGTGACGGAATTGACGACGATACTCGAGAGGAGCTGCACTGCAAACGCAATTTCGCCCACTGGGCTCTTCGTAATATCTACGAACTTGCTGTACGTGGGACACGGTAATATATGCACTGACACGCTCACGTTTCCGATATATACAAATGTCGGTATGATGCCCTGCATCACGTTGTGCGAAAACACACCACCGTGCATGAAAATTGCACATAACCCAGCGACAAAACGACCAAATTTGGCATATTTCAGCATCATTTGTCGGTCTCCTATTTCTGTCATCATCCGCCAATCGGTCCTCACGTGCTCCACGCAACGATGTATATCGCGGCTGCGAAACAGCAGTGAGAAATAATTCATGCCGCCCATGCACCAGTGACTTAATGGACCAGCAGCTTTTAATTTTTTCTGCACATCGGTCTCTTCGAACACGATGTTCAGAATACAAGGTATGACCGTATAGGCTATTAACGAGTAGCAGATGATTATCAATATTGTTGAAATCACCTTTTCTCTGACTGTAGTCGAGGATGAACTTGGCCAAGCGCCCACCAGTTTTAGAAACCAACGATTCAATTGAATACTGTAATCACTCACATCCCGTTGTGACATGATGACGGGATCACTGACATTCATGATTGCTCACGGAACGCGCGGATGCTACTGTATCGACTTAAACGCACGTGCATTTGATAGAAAGTAGCGCCTAGCGAGCAACCAGTAATAAGTAATAATAGGATATTTGTGCGTCTCGTCAGTCGATCGATACTCGCGGAGTACGCTGCAGGTGGTGTCTCATAAACGAATTTGCTGTAACATTTATTCGCGAAAATATCAATCTACTGCTTTTCAAATATGAAGCTTATATGTAATTCAGATAGATATGTATTTTTTTATACAAATAGGTATATAAAGTTCATTGCTGTGTTTTGTTATCTTTCGAGAATATTAAACAAAAGAGAAATTATTTTCTTTTAGAAAAATA